AAGACAAAAGTAGGACAAAGAGAAAAAGAAAAGCAATATCTGAAGGTCAGGGAAAAAAGAAAGAATAAGAATAATTAAGAAAAATGAAAAAATTAAAACAAGGAATGTGAAGAATGAAAAGAATTAAAGAAAGGAAAAAGGAGGGTACTAGTAAGAAGGAAAAAAAAATAAATAAATAAGAACCAAAGAATAGAAATAGAAAAGAAAGAATGAAAAAGTATAATTTAAAAATAAATAAATACAAAACTTGTGAGGCAGGGCATCTGGGCTTTTTTCCTGCTGGCCAAGCAGGCAGCAGCGAGCAAGGAACCCAGTCTGGGTGCTAGTTCCTGCCTACTCAGTAGGCAACTTGGGGCAGAGTGCCTGATCTCTAACAAGTTCCTTCTGACCCACATGATGTCTGGGGCAGGGCACTTGGACCTAGAGAAAGTTCCTTCTGGCTCAGAGTGGGAACAAGGCATCTGGTTCCAGAAGAAATTCCTGCTAGCTCAAAAAGCAGCTAAGGACAGTGCATCAAGTCTTAGAAAAAGTTCATGCTGACCCAAAAAGTAGCTGGGCACAGGACCCCTACTCTCAGAAAAAGTTGCTCCCATCCCAAAAGGGGTTGGTATAGGGTACCAGGTACCAGCAAAAGTTCCTGCCAGCCCATAATCCTGCTGAGAGCAGGGCAGGTGATCTTGGAACTAGTTCCTAACTACTCAGAAGGCAACTGGGGGTAGGGTGCCTGATCTCAGACAAGTTCCTGCTGGTCCAGAAGGTGTCTAGGGGCAGGATGCCTGGACCTTGAAAAAGTTCCTGCAGGTCTAAAAGTTGATTGGAAGCAAGGCACCTGGTTCCAGAGGGAGTTCCTGCCTGCCCAGAAGGCAGCTGGTGGCAGGGTGCCCAGTCTGGCATGGAATGCCTGCCAGGCCAGAAGGTGGGTGAGGGTGGGGGATGGGCACCTTTCCATTCACCAAGAGGATTTGGGGTACAGGGGTAACAAGGGGAATATATGACACCTTTCTGGTTGTCAGCCACCAGTGTGATTGCCCACATAGCCCTTGGTAAGTGGAGCCAATTATCAGGTTGCTGCCTGGATCAGATATTCACTTTCAAATATTCAAAATGGCTGTACTGTCAGACATCTCCATTTGTCTCCTTTTTCACTGTTTTCATTCAGGTTCTTCTACTAGTTGGTATTTTATCCACTTCTTTATCCTTTCCTTCAAAGCTCAGGGTTCCAGGATTTTTGTATCTGTTTCAGTTGGTTTCTCATTTCTTTGTTGTAGAGGGTCTGTGTAGCTTGTCTGCATATTCCAACATCTTGCTGGAAGTTCTGATAACTGTTAAGTCTTAAGTAAAATCAGTACACTTATATCAGGAGCTCTGGTGGTGTAGTACCTAAGGCATTTGACTGTTAACCAGAAGGCTGGTGGTTCAAACCCACCAGCCGCTCCTTGGAAGGAAGACTGAGCAATCTACTTCTGTAGAGATACTGCCTCAGAAACCCAAGGAGGGGTCGCTATGAGTCAGGACTGACCCGACAACAGTGAGTTTGTTTTTTGTTATACTGGATACCCACTTCCAGACATGATTATTTAGAAGATTTTGGTTGAGTCAAGAGTCTTTATTTGTAAACTGTTTCATAAGTAGTATTGGTTAAGAATTACTATAATAAGGCTCTTTGAAGGCAGAGACCAACTTTTTGATGTTCTTCCCAATGTTCAAAAATTATTTATTGAGTGAATGAATAATCCCTGCCATGAAAATGCTTATAATCTAGTTAAATGGGACATAGATAGATAGATAGATAAACTGCAACTTGTGAGAGTCAGAACTCAATGGGAATCTGTTCTGTTTCTTGATCCCTCAAGTTTTCTACCCTGCCCCTTTTGTGTCACTCATTTTAGTGGAAAATATTTAGAGTTTTCCTTCTCTGACAGGTTCTACCTTACACAGTTTCTGGCTTTCCCAGATTTTACTGTAGATCATCATAGTATGGCATTATGACTAGTACAGACCAGTGATTCCTAAAGGTCTCAAAACCACCTGGGAGTGCTCACTGAAAATATCCCCAGAGACTGATATAGTTGGTTTAGATGAGAGCCTGTTTTTCCCAAGTGCTCTAGGTGATTCAGGTATCAGTGATCATCAAGAATTTAAGAACCACTGGTAAAATAATAAATGATATAATAGAACTTACATGCAAATAGGGAAAGTTTGTTGGTATGGAATTTAACTTTTACAGGTGAATACAATTTCTATCAAGAATAGCAAATGCCAAATATACAATAAGAGGGTGATTAGCACAATATCACTAAGGCAAAGGAAGATACTGAGAGGTGCACAAGAGTTATAGACAACAAAGATAAATACTATTACATACACAATCCTGCAAGGTCAGTAACAACAAACAATAATCTATGAGTAGATACGTAGGCAGACATGCAAGCTAAACAGGTATGGACAGATGAACTGGACTACACCCACAACCATAGGTTTGGAAGAGGATATTTCTATATATGTGTCTGTATATGCTATAAATATATCCATGTATATAGTACAGCAAATGGGGCAAAATTATGAAAACTTGTAGTCATAACCAGTACCTTATAGGAATGAGTCATTGGGCTTGGGGACTTAGGGCCACAGTCTCGAGGAACAGCTAAGTCAATTGGCATAGTTGAGAAAGACAGTGTTGTACTCTACTATGGTGAGTAGCCATTGGGGTCTTAAAAGCTAGCAAGTGGCCATCTAAGATGCAACTAGTGGTCTCACCCCATCTGGAGGAAAGAAGAATGAAGAAAATCAAAGACTCAAGGGAACAGTCCAAAGAACTAATGAGCCATGCAAACCACAGCTTTTACAACCCTGAAGCCAGAGGAACTAGATGGTGTCTGGCTACCACTATTGAGTGCTCTGATGAGGACCACAGAAGGTCCTGGACAGAATGGGAGAAAAATGTAGAACAAAATTCAAAATCATAAAAAAAAGAGCAGACTCATTGGTCTGATAGAGACTGGTGAAACCCAAGACCTGGAACTGAACCCACCCATGGAGATCATTTTGTAGCCAGATGTGGTAGTTAAGGTTATGTGTCAACTTGGCTGGACCTGGTTGAGTGGCTGGGCAGCTGGATGTCATTATTCCCCATGGTGAGTGTTCTGGTTACCTAGTGCTGCTCTGACAAGAATGTCCCACAAATGGGGTGCTTGAACAAACAGGAGTTTATTCTCTTACAGTTTGGAGGCTTTAATTCTGAGTTCAAAATGCCAGCTCTAGGATCTGAGTGAAGCCCCTTGACTTTGGCCTTCAGCTCTACCTCTTGCTCCCAGCCCACTGAAGCTAGAGGCATCTCATCACTCAGGCAGCTACTGGCTGCTGAGGCTAACAAGCCCAAGGTCGACAAATAAATTGGCATAGTTCTGATGTTACCAAACCACATGGCAGACCATTAATTCAAGTCCATTTAAGTCCCAAAGTTGGTAGAGCATGGCAGGCTGCTGAACAATGACACAGTTACATGCAGGGTTCAAGCATGCCATAAGCTAGAGACCATTCCCAAAGCTGCTTCTTATACACAGGAAGCAGGCCATATCCCTAAAGCAGCTACTCAGCTGCTCCAATATATTCCACCATGGAGTTAATTACCATTCTTACCATGGGGAATAACTATATCCAGCTGCCCAGCCACTCAACCAGGTCTAGCCAAGTTGACACACAAACTTAACTACCACAGTGAGATTGGTAATTAACTTCATGGTGTAATCTATTAGAGCAGCTGAGTAGCTGCTTCAGGAATGTGGTCTGCTTCTAGTATATAAGAAGCAACTTTGAGGAAGGTCTCCAGCTTTTGGCATGCTTGGACTCTGCATGTAACCGAATCTTCATTAAGTACCCTACCATGCTCTGCTGATCTTGGAACTGTTTCTGGAGTTGAATTAGTGGCCTGCTGTGTGGTTTGGTAATATTGGGACTGTGCCTTTTTAATTGTCGACTTTGGGTTTATCAGCCTCAGCAGCCAGCAGCTGCCTGAGTGAAGAGAAAGCCTCCAGCTTCAGTGGGCCGGCAGCAGGAGGTAGACCTGAAGCCCAAGGTTGAGGGGCTTTCACACAGCCTCTACAGCCTGGCATTTTGAACTAGGACTAGCCTCCCAAACTGTAAGAGAATAAACTCCTATTTGTTCAAACCATCCCATTTGTGGTATATTCCTGTCAGACTGGCACTAGATAAGCAGAACACCAAACAACAAACAGGTCTATAAAGTGAACAATAACACTTGTGAAGAACATACTTCTAAGAACAATCAACCATAAGAAACCAAAAGGGCAATATTTGCCTCAAAACAAAATTCATAGGGCAAGAAGGGGCAGGAAAGGACAAATGGAAATGGGGAACCCAGGGAGGAAGTAGGAAGGGTGCTGTTACACTGAGAGAATTGTAACTAATGTCATGAAACAAAATGTGTATAAATCATTGAATGGAAAATGAATTTGCTCTGTAAACTTTCACCTAAGCCACAATAAATAAATAAATAAATAAATAAATATATATATATATATATATATATATATTTTAAAGCGCAAATGCCTAGCATGCAGGATACCACATCCCTCTTTTTCCACAAAGTTTGGTCTTAGAAATTTTTTTTTCACTCTCTAGATAGCCATGACTAATAGATTAGAGTTGGTGTGTGAGAAAAACCTATTTGCCAGTCCTGATTAAGTAATAGTGAAAGCTCAAAGGAGGAAGAGAATGAGCAAAGACCTTGAGGTAGGAAAATCTGTTTCCATGTTTGTGGGGCCAGTAAAACACTTGGAGCTAAAATGTCAAGTTCATGTTAAGTGATTAGTGGGAGGTACAGTTATAAGGTTAGGCCAGATTGTGGAAGGTTTTACGAGTTGGTTCATAACTACAGGTTGTAAGTTGGATGTTCATAACCTGGAGAATACCTGTAATCAAGAAAAAAATCTGACATTAGATTTGATCATGTTTCATGCAATGGTATGTGTTTTCCACAGGTAACCTTTGATGTAGCTTGGTCTCCGAAGCAAATAGACAGACGGTGCTATAATTATTCTGGAATTGCAGATGCTTGTGACTTTGTCTTTGTAATGTCATATGATGAAAAAAGTCAAATCTGGTCAGAATGTATTGCAGCAGCCAATGCTCCCTATAATCAGACAGTAACTGGTAAGAACCCACAAAATGATCATTTATTAGTAATATTAGTCCTACCACCTCAAACATTTATGACAGCTTTTAGTATTTCTAAGTTATTTGTATACATTTTCATACTGAGGTAAAAATCTTAGATCCTGGCTTCATTATATCATATCTTAATTGCTTATCAGATTGTGTAATACAAAAAATACTATTTAAAATAACAATTTTATTCTGTTAAATTACAAAGTAATTATTTAATACAGAGTTTTCCAACTGTGTTTCACAGAAGAGATGATAATTGTGTTCTATCAATGAAAGGTTTCTTGTTGGATACATTTGGGAAATGATACATACCTCATCTCCACCTCGATATTTATGAATGCACAATGACATTAAAGACTCTGAAAGCCCTACAGTAAAATTATGTGTCGAAAACTATTATCATGGAACCTTACTAATATATTGAACACCACTGCAGAGACAAGCTACATAGACTTTCTTCAACAAAGAAAAGAAAAACCAATTGACAGAGATACAGAAGATAATCCAGGAGCCCTGAGCTTTGAAAGAAAGTATACAGAAGTGGATTAGGCACCGACTAGTGTAAAAACCTGAAGGAAAACAGTGAGTACAGAGACAGATGGAGCTGCAGACTGACAACTACTCTGATGCACCAACAGCCTGAATATTTTCCAAGTGGTGTTGGGACTTGAGAATTGACCTAAAGATCAGCCTTGGTCGCCAAAAGCTGCAGGGACAACTGAGCTGCTGGCCAATGACTAGGAAGAGAAACAGCAAGGAGGGAGACAACCTGGGCTATGGACTTACAGCTGTCCGGAGGGTGCAGCCATTTTGATTGTTTATAAGCAGTGGCTATTTTGGATATTTAAAGTGACCATGGGTGCAGCCATTTTGAATGTTTACAAGTGGTGGCCATTTTGAATATTTAAAGTGACAGCATTCTCATTTGGAATCCAGGGACCTAAGAATAGGCTCCACTTGCCAAGGATGGCAGGGACGTATGGGAAGCTGAAAACAGGAAAGGAGACAGGTGGTGAGTGTATAAGTGCTGCCAACTAGTGAATAGAGGAGCACAGTACCCTGCTTACTTCGATAACATCCAAACAAAACAAAACAAAAAGCTTGGGCAAATCACTCCAACATACAATCATCAATTAAATATAAACACAAAAATGACACAATGCCTCAGAGACAACAGAGCATCACAGTCCACACAAGAAAGCAAGATAAAGCAGGAGAAACAAGGAACCAAGATACAGACCCAGAACTCATCCCTGAGGAAGAAGCACCACTGGAACTCCCTATAAGGAATTCAAAAGAATTATATTTAGGTACCTTCAACAGATTGAGAGACATACCAAGGAAAACACTGACAAAATTGAGGAAAACACAGAGAAAACCCTAGAACAATTTTGGAAGACAATACAAGAACAAAATGACAAAATAAATGAAAA